ATCTAGACAAATGAAAAACATACATTTCAATCAAGGAAATTGATCACTAGGTCCTAGGAAAAAAATCGAACTATTTTCAGAGCAATGATAGCTTTATTCTGTTCTCACCATCGACTTTTTTGGGTCGAAAAACTGCCTATTTAGGACACAGAACCAAAATGGAAGCGTTATCTGGAAAGATGACAAACATAGATTTCAATCAAGGATATTAATAGGTAGGTCCTAGAAAAAAAAACGAACTTTTTTCAGAGCAAAGATAGGTCAATTCTGTTTCCACCATTGACTTTTTTGGGTCGAAAAACTGCATATTTAGGTCACAGAACCAGAATGGAAGCGATATCTAGACAAAGGACAAACATAGACTTCAATGAAGGAAATTAATAGGTAGGTCCTAGGAAAAAAACGAACTTTTTTCAGAGCAAAGATAGGTCAATTCTGTTTCCACCATTGACTTTTTTGGGTCGAAAAACTGCCTATTTAGGTCACAGAACCAAAATGGAAGCGATATCTAGACAGAGGACAAACATAGATTTCAATCAAGGAAATTGATCAGTATGTCCTAGGAAAAAAATCGAACTTTTTTCAGAGCAAAGATAGGTCAATTCTGTTTTCACCATTGACTTTTTTAGGTCGAAAAACTGCCTATTTGGGTTACAGAACCATAATGGAAGCGTTATCTAGACAGATGACAAACATAGATTTCAATCAAGGAAATTAATAGGTAGGTCCTAGGAAAAAAAATCGAACTTTTTTCAGAGCAAAGATAGGTCAATTCTGTTCACACCATCGACTTTTTTGGGTCGAAAAACTGCCTATTTAGGTCACAGAACCAAAATGGAAGCGATATCTAGACAGAGGACAAACATAGATTTCAATCAAGGAAATTGATCAGTATGTCCTAGGAAAAAAATCGAACTTTTTTCAGAGCAAAGATAGGTCAATTCTGTTTTCACCATTGACTTTTTTAGGTCGAAAAACTGCCTATTTGGGTTACAGAACCATAATGGAAGCGTTATCTAGACAGATGACAAACATAGATTTCAATCAAGGAAATTAATAGGTAGGTCCTAGAAAAAAAAAACGAACTTTTTTCAGAGCAAAGATAGGTCAATTCTGTTTCCACCATTGACTTTTTTGGGTCGAAAAACTGCCTATTTAGGTCACAGAACCAAAAGGAAGGCGATATCTAGACAAATGAAAAACATACATTTCAATCAAGGAAATTGATCACTAGGTCCTAGGAAAAAAATCGAACTTTTTTCAGAGCAAAGATAGGTCAATTCTGTTCTCACCATCGACTTTTTTGGGTCGAAAAACTGCCTATTTAGGTCACAGAACCAAAATGGAAGCGATATCTAGACAGAGGACAAACATAGATTTCAATCAAGGAAATTGATCAGTATGTCCTAGGAAAAAAATCGAACTTTTTTCAGAGCAAAGATAGGTCAATTCTGTTTTCACCATTGACTTTTTTGGGTCGAAAAACTGCCTATTTAGGTCACAGAACCAAAAGGAAGGCGATATCTAGACAAATGAAAAACATACATTTCAATCAAGGAAATTGATCACTAGGTCCTAGGAAAAAAATCGAACTTTTTTCAGAGCAAAGATAGGTCAATTCTGTTCTCACCATCGACTTTTTTGGGTCGAAAAACTGCCTATTTAGGTCACAGAACCAAAATGGAAGCGATATCTAGACAGAGGACAAACATAGATTTCAATCATGAAAATTGATCAGTATGTCCTAGGAAAAAATCGAACTTTTTTCAGAGCAAAGATAGGTCAATTCTGTTTTCACCATTGACTTTTACGGGTCGAAAAACTGCCTATTTAGGTCACAGAACCAAAATGGAAGCGTTATCTAGACAGATGACAAACATAGATTTCAATCAAGGAAATTAATAGGTAGGTCCTAGGAAAAAAAATACAACTTTTTTCAGAGCAAAGATAGGTCAATTCTGTTTTCACCATTGACTTTTTTGGGTCGAAAAACTGCCTATTTAGGTCACAGAACCAAAATGGAAGGCGATATCTAGACAGATGAAAAACATACATTTCAATCAAGGAAATTGATCACTAGGTCCTAGGAAAAAATCGAACTATTTTCAGAGCAATGATAGCTTTATTCTGTTCTCACCATCGACTTTTTTGGGTCGAGAAACTGCCTATTTAGGTCACAGAACCAAAATGGAAGCGATATCTAGACAGAGGACAAACATAGATTTCAATCAAGGAAATTGATCAGTATGTCCTAGGAAAAAAATCGAAATTTTTTCAAAGCAAAGATAGGTCAATTCTGTTTTCACCATTGACTTTTTTGGGTCGAAAAACTGCATATTTAGGTCACAGAACCAGAATGGAAGCGATATCTAGACAAAGGACAAACATAGACTTCAATGAAGGAAATTAATAGGTAGGTCCTAGGAAAAAAAACGAACTTTTTTCAGAGCAAAGATAGGTCAATTCTGTTTCCACCATTGACTTTTTTGGGTCGAAAAACTGCCTATTTAGGTCACAGAACCAAAATGGAAGCGATATCTAGACAGAGGACAAACATAGATTTCAATCAAGGAAATTGATCAGTATGTCCTAGGAAAAAAATCGAACTTTTTTCAGAGCAAAGATAGGTCAATTCTGTTTCCACCATTGACTTTTTTGGGTCGAAAAACTGCCTATTCAGGTCACAGAACCAAAATGAAAGCGTTATCTAGACAGATGACGAACATAGATTTCAATCAAGGAAATTAATAGGTAGGTCCTAGGAAAAAAAACGAACTTTTTTCAGAGCAAAGATAGGTCAATTCTGTTTCCACCATTGACTTTTTTGGGTCGAAAAACTGCCTATTTAGGTCACAGAACCAAAATGAAAGCGTTATCTAGACAGATGACGAACATAGATTTCAATCAAGGAAATTAATAGGTAGGTCCTAGGAAAAAAAAACGAACTTTTTTCAGAGCAAAGATAGGTCAATTCTGTTTCCACCATTGACTTTTTTGGGTCGAAAAACTGCCTATTTAGGTCACAGAACCAAAAGGAAGCGTTATCTAGACAGATAACAAACAAATATTTCAATCAAGGAAATTGATCAGTAGGTCCTAGGAAAAAAAACGAACTTTTTTCAGAGCAGAGATAGGTCAATTCTGTTTCCACCATTGACTTTTTTGGGTCGAAAAACTGCCTATTTAGGTCACAGAACCAAAAGGAAGGCGATATCTAGACAAATGAAAAACATACATTTCAATCAAGGAAATTGATCACTAGGTCCTAGGAAAAAAATCGAACTTTTTTCAGAGCAATGATAGCTTTATTCTGTTCTCACCATCGACTTTTTTGGGTCGAAAAACTGCCTATTTAAGTCACAGAGCCAGAATGGAAGCGATATCTAGACAGATAACAAACATAGATTTCAATCAAAGAAATTGATAGGTAGGTCCTAGGAAAAAACGAACTTTTTTCAGAGCAAAGATAGGTCAATTCTGTTTCCACCATTGACTTTTTTGGGTCGAAAAACTGCCTATTTAGGTCACAGAACCAGAATGGAAGCGATATCTAGACAGAGGACAAACATAGATTTCAATCAAGGAAATTAATAGGTAGGTCCTAGGAAAAAAATCGAACTTTTTTCAGAGCAAAGATAGCTCAATTCTGTTTTTACCATTGATTTTTTTGGGTCGAAAAACTGCCTAGTTAGGTCACAGAACCAAAATGGAAGCGTTATCTAGACAGATGACGAACATGAATTTCAATCAAGGAAATTGATAGGTAGGTCCTAGGAAAAAAATCGACCTTTTTTCAGAGCAAAGATAGGTCAATTCTGTTTTCACCATTGACTTTTTTGGGTCGAAAAACTGCCATTTAGGTCACAGAACCAAAAGGAAGGCGATATCTAGACAAATGAAAAACATACATTTCAATCAAGGAAATTGATCACTATAAGTCCTAGGAAAAAAATCGAACTTTTTTCAGAGCAATGATAGCTTTATTTTGTTCTCACCATCGACTTTTTTGGGTCGAAAAACTGCCTATTTAGGTCACAGAACCAAAATGGAAGCGATATCTAGACAGAGGACAAACATAGATTTCAATCAAGGAAATTGATCTGTATGTCCTAGGAAAAAAATCGAACTTTTTTCAGAGCAAAGATAGGTCAATTCTGTTTTCACCATTGACTCTTTTGGGTCGAAAAACTGCCTATTTAGGTCACAGAACCAAAATGGAAGCGTTATCTAGACAGATGACGAACATAAATTTCAATCAAGGAAATTAAATGGTAGGTCCTAGGAAAAAAAAACGAACTTTTTTCAGAGCAAATATAGGTCAATTCTGTTTCCACCATTGACTTTTTTGGGAGGAAAAACTGCCTATTTAGGTCACAGAACCAAAATGGAAGCGTTATCTAGACAGATAACAAACAAAGATTTCAATCAAGGAAATTGATCAGTAGGTCCTAGGAAAAAAAACGAACTTCTGCTTCTGCTGCAGTTTTTGTGCATTGCACAACAGCATAATGTGATGGCATGAGCGAATTAATGAATAGCCGAAAAATACGATTAGTATGCCAAAATAATTGTGAAAAACTATTTCAATCACTTGTAAACAAATAAGAAAAGTGAGGTTGTGTTTCAATGTTGTTGTTCCAGGGTCGGTCATCTGACAGTTCTTGCACGCAACCCATATACAAAAAACGTCAAAACAGCAGCGTCAAGTACATTTAGGAACTCTAACTGATACCATCCAGTCACCTAGTTCGGCCAACTCTGACCACACGTTTCAGTGGCGCTTTTTGGTAGACAATAAATAATTAGTTCTCATTAACCTAATTGCTAGATTTATCTCGGACTTGGTGGTGTCATAGACTATCGATTGAATTTATCTCTTAGGTGTTCCGATGATGACATTTTCAAATGCAGTGACATTTTGAAGCAGATCAGCCGATAATGAAATGACACTACTTATATTATTTTTATAAAATCCCAAAAGCTCCGAGCTCAAAGCTTACTTGTGTGTCGGTTCAGGGTCCCACGTAGACGGTATAGTAAGGCATTCATCGCCTCCATGGAAGAATCTCAGAACATCGCCTCCGAACACATAACCGACATACTTCATCCTTGATATGCCGGTACCGTAGGGCTGTACCGACCAATGGGTCACGTGGAAGCTAGCGTTCACTATCGATATTTCGTTCTCTTTGGTCGTGTGCTAAACATTTCATAGATAGTCTTCATCATTATCGCGAAAAATACTGTTGTACATAACAATAACTTATGCACGACCAGGCGTAAAGTTGCACTTTATCGCCATGGCCGAAAGACGTAAAGTTGTAATTTATCGCTCAGATCAACGGACGTAAAGTTGCCCTTCATCACCCGGATCAGCGGACGTAAAGTTGCAATTCATCGTCCGGAACAGCAGACGTAGTTGCATTTTTAGGATCGACAGACGAAAATTTTCACTTTATCGCCCGAACCAGCGGGTGTCAGGTCGCACCTCAAGGCTCTAGGGTGAATTAAGTGTATAAAGGGTTAAAGTGATCTCGCTGTGTTTTTCTCCAGTAATTTCTGGTGGGGCATCGTAAGATAAAATATTTCTAAATTATAAATATACATCCATTTGACAGTAAATTAATACGGTTTAAACATAAGTGCTACAAAATGAGAGAGACCCCTTCAAAAAATATCTGAACGCCACTGGGGTCTATGTTTTTGTTACCTGGGATATGTTCAAGAAATTTTGTAAGTCTTTTAGCTAGAATTTTTTTAAATTTCCCAGAAAAAATGTGATCGCCCCACTATCACAATTTGTATTCTCTTTCAGATGGTGTGGAAGAAACTTTTGGAGCATATAGAGTGGGTGAAACAGTTACGAAAACCTCCGTAACAGTTTTTTCTGAAGTAACCCCCAAGAAAGATACAGCCCCTCAAAGGGGGACCTCGGAGAATGATTTTGTATTATCTCCAACACCTTGTATAATGAAAATCCGATATTTTGTCCATCCACTTACTATTTAGTGCCGGTTCGAATGAAGTTAAAATCACCTCAAAATTAAATACAGGAATGTGTCAAAATAGGGAGGTAGGGGGTAAAACTAACCTAAATTTTTTTGTTAATCGCAATTTCAGTTTTTTGACATGAAATTATGAAATATCAGGGCTATTTACATAGAAAAGGTGCTCTTGTTGCATCTCGATACAATGAACCATTAGCGAACAAGAGCTCCTTTTCTATGTTAATAGCCCTGAGATTTCATAATTCCATGTCAAAAAACTAAAATTGCGATGAACAAAAAAGTTGGGGTTATTTTTACCCCCTACCTCCCTATTTTGACACACCCCTGTATTTAATTTTGAGGTGATTTTAACTCCATTCGAACCGGCACTGAATAATTAGTGGATGAACAAAATTTCAGATTTTCATTATACAAGGTGTTGGAGATAATAATACAAAATCATTCTCCGAGGCCCCCCTTTGAGGAGCTGTATCTTTCTTGGGGGTCACTTCAGAAAAAAAATTTACGGAGGTTTTCGTAACTATTTCACCCACTCTATATGCTCCCAAAGTTTGACCACCTATTTTATAATCACCTTGTATACACCTCAGGACCAAAGTTTTTTTTTTAAATCCCTCGACAAATTATAGCCCTACCGTTGGTCGGGACTTTTTGTCTAGGGATTCAAAATACCACTTTATTCCCTAGGTGTACTATTATTTCCATATAACATTTTTTTTATTTTTCTCCTCCACAGAAGAAATGAGGAAAATTCAACCTTGATTACAGAGACAACTACTTACTAGAAAAAGTTGGCTACGCTTTTAAAATCTGGATGTTTCCTTTGGGATGGTGTCAAGAAGTATTCAAATTCTCATTTTATTGTCTCAGAAAAATGAATTGAGATGTGCAACCCAAAAAAAAGACAACATAAAAAGGTTTATTTTTCAGGCATTCAATCTCACCAAGTATCTTTCAGTGGCCACTGAGACTAAGATGAGGTCATCCCCAACTCGTACTTTCTCACCCTCGGATCTGAAACGAATTTCAAAATTTTTGGGAGAAAATAAGGTTTTTTGGGTTTTTACCTTTGTTTGCTAGCAGGATGAACTGTCCACCAACAGGCTTCTCCATGACTGTGGTCTTGCAAACCGACATCAAAAGCAAGTTTGTCATTGCTAGAGCTCGTGGAGAGGCAAGCCAAATACTTAAAAAAAAAAGAAAATGACCGTTGGGGTATTCAAAATGTCGCTACAAAATATTTTCATTCACAAAATTCAAGTTTTTTGCTTTCCTCCTACAATCAAAATATATTCAGGGCTTTACAGGCATCAATTCATATAAATTAAACATGTGTTTAGAGTCCGAATACACAGGAACTCGCAAATTTCTATGGTAAATTGGGTCCCGATGGGTTTTTTCTCAATTTTTGGTATTTTGTAGTTCATGTGATAACATATATTTGCATTGCGCCAACCCCCAAAAATGAACAGTTTTTTGCGAGGGGGAGTTCATATAGCATAAAATAGATCTTGAACAGATCTAATGAAATCTACTGAATTTTTGCCAAGGTATTTACTGATGAAATAAAAATCGAACTGGCAACACTGGTCCACGCGGAGAGTCAGTTGACAGCATGCTGTCGTCAAATTAATTATTCACGAAATCCAATAGATTTCACGTGTGGATAGGATCGTCATACTCTTAAGTTCAATTTGATTCAATAACGATGATGTATATTTTGTAGTTTTTTGTATTGTTTTTGTATGTCCCATATTCTCCATCTTAATGTCCAACCCTTCTGTAATTGTAATTGTACTTATAGTTACAGGATATACCTGAATAGAATGTCTCATTCTCTTGGTGCATAAATAATAAAAAACTTTTAATATTTGGCCTATGTAAGTTATGCAAATCAATCTAAAGTTCATGACACTTGAAGGAACTACTCAGAATTTTGTGGAAATCTAATATTTTGTGGAGATTTCAAAATTCACAATACCTAAATTACACAGGGTGATTCAAAATTCGATGTGAATATTTCAAGGACATATTGTTGAAATCAAAATAAGACTTTTTCTTCACATAAACATGTATCCTGAAATGCAATTACTTTGAGCTACAGCCACTGTAAATTAGGTTAAAAGAAAAGATTATCTAAAATTGTGACTAAAATAATGATTCAAATCTTCTGAAAATTGGCATGATCCTGTCTTTTCAGACACTTTACCTCCTTTTTGCTTCAAAAATTATGTAAACCCAGTTTTGGCCAATGAATTAAAATCACTCAAACTCCCATTGATTTCAAGATCTTTTATCATAAATCAACTTTTCCGAATTAAAACATTCAGTACATTGTAGTTTCAATCAGGTCAGCGGAGTTCATAGACGTCAGTTCCTTTATAATTTGCAAAAAAACCGCTTACCGTGCGATAATACAGCAGAATCGAAGGGCAACGACCATTCCCATTGCGGAAAATTGCGAACCTAGCATCGATTCCGAATATAAATAGTACCCGAGGCGATAAGGCATCATTCATTATCAACACATTGTAATATGAATACTGTTTTTTTGATGTATTATTTTGCATTGTGTTTATTTGTAAGCCATTATGTTCTTTTTTCTTTGCTAACCTGCCATGTGGCAGCATCTATTCATGACCTCTTCATTTAATCAATAAATGTCAATTTTATATAAAAACTGTCCGGTCTCTTTATTTGGGGATGAATATGGTTGGGTGGTGAAATGATCAAAACCTCTCGTCAAAAAGCCAAGTGAGTAGCTAAGTTACGACATACTGAGTAGCAACACGTGGTGGAGGCGCCGTTTGATCTCCATAATGCCATATAACCTACTAGAACCATATGAGCTGCGACAATATGAAGAAAAAGTCTTTTTTGAACCCAATAATAATTATGTCTTTGAAGTATTAACCTTAAATTTTGAATCACCTGTATTATAACTACCTACCATGTCACTGTTTTGGTGCCTGAGAAGAATAGCATTGCCATAAAGTAGGGTGCGATGTCCTGAACCTGTTCCTTTGCCCTAAAAATGTTCAAGAACACTTCATGTATAATTAGAAATTTGTCATATCATTGAATCACGGTCAAATCTGTGTTTTATTTGATATTTATTTTTAGTATTTGTGTTGAGTTTATACCAAATTCTACCACTGCAAATAATTTTGTTAGAATATCCAACAGCTAAAAGTTATAAAAGGCCATATAATAGTTTTTGAAGACATGTCAAAAACACAATATATATGTTTTGTTTCAATGGTAAATGCTCAACAATGAATTGTCTGCCAAACAGATTTCAAAGGATGACTAAATGAAATATTGCAAATCACACTTCAGTATGGCAATTATTTCATTATCAATTTGATTAAATAATCTTTGTTGTTTTTTTGCTATGTTCTCAGGTATTAATGTTGGTACATCTATACATGAGTATTAGAACATCTTTCAGAGAAATATTTTGGGCAGTCATCCAATTGGCAGGATTATATTTACATCATTATACTTCCTGTGAAAATGCCTATAACTGAAATTTTTTATACAGTAAATGTATCTATTTCACTATTCTAAATGGATCTATTTTCTGTGTTTGTGACATCTCAAAAAAATATAACTACTATACTTTGAATCACAATAAGACAATACAACATAATTGAAATATACTGTGAACAAGAGGTAACAGGGTGTTGGTGATGATTGAGGATTATTGGGACATTTGTTTTGAATGTATTGAAACAAAAGGAAAAAGCTGCATCTACTACATCATATACCAATAATTATCACAATTTTGTTAGTGTAAACTACTTTTGTTAAAGAATAAGTTAAAACAATAATATTTGTAAAAGATGATACTGACAACACATGAAGATAGGTAATATATTCACTTACTAAATTTTCCCGACCCTGAAAAGCAAAAAGTCAAGCAGGTGAAAACAGGAAAAATAAATTAGGATTGGTAACACAAAAATGTTCAAAAAGTGGTAAAACATATGAACAAAAATGAGTGTCAGTAAAATGTTATAGACAAAGGATAATTACAGAAAACTTATGACCTTTTATATGCAAAGAAAAAACAATTTTTAGTAAGAATTTAGGAATGAAAATTGAATATATTATGAGTGAAACTGAAGGTTCAGTCTAGATACAGAGTATTTTGGTGATTATTACTTATTATTCAACCACTCACTCAAAGTATCTCCTTGGGGGTTGATAATTTGTTTGTAAGTAGGTGAAATAAATGGGTCACAAATAAAAGTACCTCTTGAAAAACTTACAGTTTCATTACCAGCTGCTGTAACCAATTCTTGCAAAGCACGGACAGACAAGGCTTGTTCAATTACGAAAACACACTGTGAAAGGTCAGGTGGGATATTCTGGAAACGACAGCAGAAAATATTTCATAAAATAGGTATATTCTAGATTCACATTCATAATGTAGTTACCTTATCAGCTATATTTTCTAGGAAACAATGTCTATTACCAAATCCTTCAGCTGCCAAGCATACTCTTTCTCCTGTAGCAGTGCACGAAAGACATACCATATCTTCCTATTTTGAAAAATACAAAAGATGATTATTTATTTACCTGCAATGTAACCTCAAAATGCAAATTTACCGTTCGTAAGAATGAAACATCATCCTGTTCGGAACCCCCTTCGGCTTCAGCCATTTTGAAGGGGTTACTTTATCCTGAAATCGCAAAAAAACATCGTTTACAAAAATATTTTGATTTTATTCATTGAGAACTTCGATTTTTGAAAAACTGCAGTATATAAGTGCTGCCAACAGTACAGCATGGAAACCTCGATTCGAAAATGTAACTAGATTATTTGAAAAATTTCCCCAGCCATTTAAATTTTTTTTTATTTTCCTTCATATCCAATAATAATGCAATGATTGCAATGCCTTTCATATCAGAAGCGCGAGTTATTAAAATAATTTTCCACTCACAACCTCGGGAAATGCGAGAAAATTGAAATACATCTATAATCAGAATGTGGTAAAAGTTGGGTTAGGATTATTTTTAAACATGGTTTATTTTCATTGTGAAAATGAAAATTATCGCATATTATGCTAAATTTTTTCCAAATAGGAATTATGAACCTCCGTTAGGCAATAATCGAAAAGATATTCAGGATTTCTAAGAGCTCAATATACTTATATACATATATATCTATATACCTATCTGCTACCTCTTTACCTCCCTCTGCTACCTATTTCTTCAAATTTATTTCATTGACCTATTCTCATGCAAATATGAAATGGATATGCAAATTGGAAAAACTATGTACATACCTACTTTTTCAAATTTTTTCTTGCTACATTAGGTATATGTCCACACAGCATTAAAACTTCGTTCAGCACTGAAGTGGTTGCTATTTTTAAACAGAGCTGTGTACGGTATTTTTAGAAAGGAGCCAAAATAAAATTAGCGAATTTAAATAACATACTAGTGACTTCTCGTCTTCTCTTCTTCTGGAACATTTGATTTGTTTTGGACTATTATATATTTTCCATAAAAAATGTATGACCCCACAATGCAATAAAAAAAAGATGCATAGGTTTGGAACTAAACTGGTTTGATTTGAAACAAGGTGGATATGGAAAAAAATCTAGTGAGCTCTGTGTTCAAAATATTTCAGATATTCGCGAAAATCACGAAGTGTGCGGCCTCTGGTGGCTAACTTTGCAAGTCTTGCGAGTGAAATTGGCAATTTCTCTGGACAAAAAGTAATTTTTTCCATACTGGAAACCTTGTACGTATTTCACGAAGTCAACTTATTATTCACTATTTTGCAAAATGATTTCGAAATAACCAATTTGCAATGAGTGCAAACGGCAATGTTTTTGTTGTTCATACTCAGTTTGAAATTTGACGTTGATTTGACGTTTAATAGAGCCATCTATTGGTCCGTGATTTTCGCGAATTGCTGATTTCATAAGCGTGCTATTGAGAAACAGGGTTTATCACAAAATAATTATATCTCCATACAAACTGATAACTCTCCACAAAATTATATTCACATTCACTTCTTATTATGTGGAACATTCAAATAAATCATCAGCTCTCCGAGATTAAAACACGACACATCGATCATTTTTTTTTTATCGCTTGGAGCGCACGAAAGGGAATCCCTATAATGTAAGAAGACCGCAAATTATTTTTAACATGTAAAATTTACTAGTAAAAGCGTGGATTTTTTTTAATCTTCATTAGTTTCTGAGATGAGACACAATATGGATTGAAATGAAAAAAGGATGAAGGACCAATGAATAAAACATCTGTTAACAATTGAAAATATTTAATTTAGTAATCATTTCACAATGTGGGTGATGATGAAAGTTCTAACTGGAATTAAAATTCATTTTCAACAAAATGAGAAGAAATAAAATATTATTAATGTTTTAATAACTACGCCTTGGTCATAATAAAAAAGTCAAAGTCCATCAACCTATATAATAAATTAATTTTTGGTATGTTTGACATATTTAAAGAATTTACAATATTTACAAGTCAACATTCACTATAATTAATTACATAAGATCTAATAAACACAGCCAAAAACGCTGTAGACTATACATATAAATACAGAAATCAAGCCAGAGTATTTTTTGCTAAAAGAACACATGAACTAAACTAAATTTATCCCACTTTAGAATAAAAAGGCAACATATCAGAGAAGGATAAAAAGACTATTCACTTACAATTTTCATTTTGGCAATTTTGACAAAAATATCAGATTTACTATTATTACTATTCATGAGAATGAAATAAAACTCACTACTACCACAGTAATACTGGATACTATAAAGTCCAGTAAACTTCACTATTGAAGGTCATAAAGTCAGTCTAGAATTTTGAGCCAATTAATATTTTGATCATTTGTTATTGAAAAAAATGAATAAAATGTTAGATATGTTTTGGCTGGAAAACAGAAATAATTCAAATCATGGAAATAGTAATAAATCGAAAATAAAATGTTGTTCATACAATAAAAATACAGTATGTCTCGCTTTGAGTGTAACAATCCCCATATTTTGGACTAGAATGAACGATTCGATTTTTATTTTCAAAATGTACTACTCAAGAAGAAAGAGTAGTACATTATAACAATTGAACGAAATCGTTTTTTCTACTCCGAAGGTTGTTACAGTTAAAACCTACTTTTTAAATTTCTAATGTGAAAAATTACTTTCATAGTCTCAAATAGAATATACTTTAATTCCATTTCAATCACGAAAATATAATATATAATTTTATATTATGTCATTTTGTAGTTATAGGTACTGCATAATCATTTTTCTTCCATTCTAAAATTCATCATATTGGTATCTAAATATATCTCAGGAGTATCTTAATATCTAATAAACCGATACCTCATGCAAAAATTCAACAAACAATGTATGTACTTGTATTTATCAAAACAACAATTCAGTTAATTAGTTTTTGAGATTAACAAAAAAAAAAGTACAGTTCTCGGAGTTTCATTTGAAAATTTTACTTAATGGCAACCTTAAGTAAATATGACATCCAAACTTTAGGCATTCAGTCAAGTTCGTTCTGTGTAATCCGAAACGTCATGAAAATGTTTCCGCTTTTTTGAAAATAATTCCTGTAATATTCCCCCAGCACTAGTTTCCACTACTGCCAAAATATACAAGTGATTAAAATATATACCCCAGCCAACACATCTGTGACATGACATCTCTGAGATGTCGCGTTTACGTAACAGTGCCATATTACAAACGTTCCATCGCTGCAATGTTCATAAGCAAAAACATCTGCGATATCACGAATGTTCCATCGCTGCGATGAACATAAGCAAACACATCTGCGACATGACATCTCTGAGATGTCACCATGAGGCAACACTGCGATATCACGAATGTTCCTTCACTGCGATGTACAGAAGCACACATCTGCGACATGACATCTCTGAGATGTCGCTTACATCTCGCCGACACACACTACATAATTTTTGATACAAATATAAGTAACTGATATCATCCTGATGGAGATGCGTAGGTACTAAGGACCACCAACAATGGTCACAGCAATGCAAAATCAATATATGTCATCAGAGGTCAGTGGTGTATTATCACAAAAAGGTCTCAGGAAACTTTTTTACGTTTTACTGCGATGTTATCTCACATCACATTGTAGTTCTATCGCAAAAACACATCGTTTCCTCATCACAAATGACATATCGCAATTACAATGCAAAAATTATATCCCTGTTATATCCCAAATAATTTATCGCAGAGACATCGCATAAGTGAAACTTGAGTGGAACAAAATAACATCCATCTGGCATATCTCTGTGATGTAACTGTGTATGTTTGATAAATTGAAGCATCAACATTGTTTATCTATAGTGTGTATAAATATTGGCATTATCTTCAGACACAAAACAACAATATGAATTGCTATTGATATCTTCCTGAAAACCATCTTATGTTTCTAGAGACGAAAAATACGAGTGAGGTATATTTTCAATTAAAAAGAGATAATGGTGTATATATCTCCTACGAACATCACGATTTCTGCATTCGTTTCTGACTTAACTAGAGTCTATTCTAACAGTAAGTTAAGTTTTTTTGAATTTTTGATTAGTCTAGTTGCTTAAGCAAAGCAAGATCTCAGTTTTCAGAAGATCATACCTGAAAAAAACTAAGATTATTCCCAAGGAACTTTACACCTGCATTAATGGAATCGGAACTGGCCCCAGAACAGATCCTTGAGGAATGCAACTTCACTTACTCTTCGAATTTGTTATTAATAACTTGCTTCATGTCCCGCCAAAATGTACAAGTCGTGACCTTCTTCATTTGTTAAAGTTCCAGTTCGTAATAAATTACTTTCTAACATCACAACTCTGGAAAAAAAGTGTTTGAATTAATAATGTCATTGGCCACACAAAAATAACCAATCAGCTAAAACAAATTCACCTCCATTTTATTTTTTTCTGCACGATTGATGATTTTTTTCCGTAGGAAAATAATTTGAAATGTTTTTTTCAAGAGCTAAAGACGTTATACTATTGAAAAAGGTTAATATGAACCAAGCTGTATTTTTCGAAGGAATAAATAATGATTTATTCTCGAGTCATGAGTTGCTCAAAATTTTTCACCAGAATTTCGTAAACATTGATTATTGTGAAAAATTGTATTTTATGACCACCATCTATAATGAAAGAGAATACTGTGATATACTGAGTACTAGATAATGTGAATCGGTTGGAACTAATGATTGATGTCAAGGAAAGAGTTTAAAATGAAAGCAATTAGAGATGAAATTTCCCATATACTTCCAGAAGCTCCTTTTGGATTATCTTGTAAGAATATGCCATTATTTTGATTAATATTAGTGAATTTCTTCTGTGTTCACACTTAGTGTGTTGAGCATTGTAATTTAATTTCAAATGATGAGTTTTAAATTTCAATGGATGGATATATACAAATTTGCCTTCTATTTTTCCTAGAAGTAAATAGTTTTTTAATAAAAAAATCGCATGAAGATATTTTGTCATGAAATGTGTGTAAAACAGAAGCAAAACAATTTCTTAGTGGGAAATCAATCAATGTTCATATATAGAAGAGGAAGTAAACAATCAATATTCCATAATGGAATAATTTTATATAACTCCTTACCTAATGAGTTGAAAAATATAGAAGAAGCAGAAAAATTTAAAATCAAATTAAAGAAATATCTGCTCAGTAAACTTCAATTCCATATCTACTAATAATTCACAATTTGATTACTTGTAATGGATTATAATATTTTCATTTTATATCTTATTATAATTTTTTTTATGAAGAACAATAATTGTGAAATTATTATTGTTTGGATTAATTATGTTATATGTATGTTTTGTTGCATATATCCCTATTATAAACGATAATTTTTTATTGGGGCAATAAAAACAATCAATCAAAAAATATGTAAATGATAAAAATGTCAAATTCATAAGTAGTCGTCGTCAAACTAGAGAATGGATTGTAAAACAAATATAGGTTTCAAAAAGTAGGATAAAAAAATATAAACTACTCACTTATCTGAGCCTAAAAGTTTATATGTCCTTGAAGTATCAGTAATCTCTTGTGTAATTTCACCATTTTTCAATGACCTTCCTTGAACTCCGTGTTTGTGAAATGCTAGAACACTATCCGGAAGACATACTGAAAAAAAAACACCGTGTGAGCTTTGAGTTGTTCTGAAACAGAGTAGACAAAAAGTCTGCATACTCACAAATACTTTCTATTCTGAAATCGAATCTCATATCAGACACTTGTTTTTTGGTTGATTTCAGCTTCCCTTGCGGGTTCACTATCCTAATAACGTTATCGTAACACACTAAAATCGAGTCTTTGTCTAATTGGGTGACGTTCACTATGTCCAGATTCTCCCTTCTAGGGATGACAGTCGCCGTACCGTCCATATCTTGAAGCTCGTCAGAATGAAACCAATTCGAACCTAAAAAAGGAATTGGTTAGCTGCAACGCATGGGACTGATGCTCCTTCCGATTCAAAAGAACATTTACAAATTGTAAAATGTTGGGTCACACTGTATGGAATAGATTTTTTAAATTTTGATTCTCGACTTCAACGAGATAATTTCGAAAGTAGTAACTTTTCGACGACCTGTATTTTATTAAAGAAATTGACTGAGTTTTATGCAGCTTTCAATGTAAGATGTGATAATTCATCGACTTCACAAAAAGCTAGAACACTGAAAAAGTAAGCAGAACGAAACTTACACAGGGTGTAGAGTGGAACCCTTACCTTGTTGTCTACATTTGCGACGCTGCAGGAACTCAAGATTTTTTTTTCATCATTATGATAAATAGGGACGTTTTTGTGATCTCTCCTTAAAGCGCCATTGGAACAAAGGTAATATTGAATACTGTCTGGAACCAAGAGACCTCTCTCAGTAAGGTCAAAGGAGCATTAATACAATATAAAGAAAAGACACATCGACAAATCGAAACTAGCTGAACATTTCCTTACTGAAGATGAACAACATATGGCAGAGTGGAATAATATTAAAATCATTGGAAAAGAAGATAACAACCAGAAGAGAAGAATCAAGGAATCTGCTTGTATTCTTCTGAACGGAGACAATAGCATTGCTTCCTGTTCAGTTGATATAGATAGAACATGGTATTCACTACTGAAATCTGAAAATGAAAATGGTAAATTCAAGATTAATTAATGAAAACATCCTGTAACTCATTTGATTACCAACAGAGAAGTATCAAGACAAATACGAGGTTACCATACAAAAAATCCATTTTTTATGTTGAAAACGGGAGCAGATTCGTTCCCGAAACATCCGAAGATGAGTGAAAATTTGATATTTTTTCTATATACCTTAATTTCTCTTCTCCAAACCTTTTTCAATACAAATTGTCACTGACAAGCTAGTGAATTTTTCTTTTAGGCGCTCTGATAGGAGAATTCTTAAACGCATGAACATTTTAGGACAAATCATATGATTTGTCCTCACTACACGTATATTGAAATAGTATTCATATTTTTATTTTATGAAGACGAGGAGAGAACATCCCAAAATATGATGAAAGGTAATATTTTTTTTCAAAAGACTTGCATTCTTGAAATTTTTCTTTAGAACTCCACTTGAATTGAATAGTTGGAAGAATTGTTCTCAATTTATCTGGAGGTCAGTGAAAGACGAAAAATGCACCATAGTAGAATATACAGAGTGAAAGGAAAAGAGGAAAAAATCTCTTTTAGAAAAAAATCAAGAACGGTGACTAAAACCATGGACCCATTCGATTCATTACATTCAGAAACGTCCTTCTCAATATCCAATATTAATATTAGACTACTAACTCGAGACATTTCCAGAAAATTCCTTTATTATTGAAATACAGGATTAGATTTTTTTCATATTTCACATTCATGAATAAGTTTGAATCCAAGGATAGATCATCGAGATCGAATGCTTCCCTAGAGACACAAAGTGAGTTTTCAAAAACATATCGAGTTAGTAGTCTAATATGAATGATGGATATCGAGAAAGTCGTTTCTGAATATCATGAATTGAATGAGCCATGGTTTCAGTCGCCGTTTTTGATTTTTTTACTGAAATGAGATTTTTTTCCTATGGTGCTTTTTTCGAGTTCAAGCAGAAAAAAAAATGTCAACAAATGCAAGAGTTTTGAAAAAAAATATCTTTATTCTAATGGCAAATGTAGATGAAAACATTCCGAGATGAAGTCCAAATGCATCATAATATGACTGACTTCTGATCAGAAAAAAGAATTCTTGAGTTCCTACAGCGTCGCAAATGTAGACCTTAGTGTGATGCTTCCACTTTACACCCTGTGTAATACTCGTTCTGCGAACTTTTTCACAGTGTTCTAGTTTTCATTGAAGTCGATGAAATATCACATCTGCTACTGAAAGCAGCATGCAAATCGGTCGATTTCCTCAAAAGATATAGGTCGTCGAAAAATAGTCAAATTATGAGTGGTGTTGAGACATGTAGTTGAGGTCCATAGTGAAACTTCAGATATGTCGAACAACTCTCTACCACCAAAACTCATTTGTCTATAGAACGGCATAGTCTCCCAAGGTTAGCAGGTGTTCCACGAACATAATAGTCGTTCTCTTTGTATTCAAATAGGTTACAGGAAAGTAATGATCATTTAAACCCAAACAAATGAAAAATATGTTCACTTATAATATCACGAGAGCTTCAATTATTTCCGGAAATTTTTTCGAGAACACGAATATTAATTGAAGCTAAAGTGGTATTCGGTAAGAAAATTTCACACTGAAATATTATATTGCAAGTATACCTACATTATATGATAAACTGTTGATGAATAATTTTTATTTGTTGACTTAGAGAATGAACTCGAAATAATCTGAAGTTGAATGTAAGTGTCATTCTACCTATAAACCCCCAAGAAGGAGGAAAAAATTTCCAAGAAATTTGTTTAGTTGCTATGGTAACGATACGAAATACAGGCTAAATTGATCGAAAATGTTTGGTGTGAAATTTTCACCTGAATTCATGTTGATCAAATCCAATTTGAATCTGTTCGGTTGGTAAGCCTGTTTGATGGAAACGCACACCATTGGGTATTCAAATTCCGGTGTTATTATCATCTCGAAAACGTGTAGGGGGTTGGGAAATGTACATTCCACGTGCTGAAAAAAAAAACATTTGTTATGTTAACAGAAAAAATGGATGCCCTATGGTAAAACAAGTATATTGAAAAATGTCCAATGCTGTGTGAGATAGGCCTTGAAGAAAAATCATCTGAAAGGCAATGAAATTCAGGCATTCAATTTCAAGATCATAGGAACATTGTAGTGCCCTTAAAAAACCTGAAATCTTATGAATTCCGAATCCGCTTCGGGATCATTTAGAGAACTCCTCTTCTACAATTTAATATTGAACATCTATTTCATTTATTGAATTCCTACTGCATCACTATATTCAGGTTTTCCGTTCTAATCGACTTCAAAACTCCACAATTGAATGAAAAACCTAATATTCTAATAACTTTGATAGATTTTCAAGCGAAAATCTCGAATATCAACAACAATGAGGCTAGGTACAGCGGGAACCCACACTGTTTCAAAGATATAATATTTTTGAATATCTACTCCATGTTATATAGGTATATGATTTTGATATTTCCATTGTTGGAAACATTTTTACCTACAAACGACCTTCTAATCTGAGGCTACTCTCTAGAAGAACATTTTGAATTTTGCATATTCAGTTCCAAGTGTTTGAAATTTCATTTGATTTTCTAGATACTTGCATCGAAATCACACAGAAGCGTGTCATGAATGACCCTGTATTGTTTCTCATTGTACAGGGTAACTGGAATTCGAGCTTCACCATTTGGATCTCGTAAAACGTAAGAGATACAGGGTCGGTTAAATTATGGCTGTTTTCGACAATTCTGAATACTGTCGGAGATATACGAAAAATAAAACAGAAATTTCCTAACACCCCATTCATTGATTTTTCGAATTATTTGAAGAAATTAATCGAAATGAACGACACATTATCATGGCCATTTTTTATTTCCGACAAGTTGAAATTTGTGCTAGCTCCTACGTTTTGAGATATCCAATGGTGTGAAAAAATGAGATAGAGAAAAAGTGGCCTTGATAAAGTGTCATTCATTTCCATAAATTTCCTCAACTAACTTGAAAGAAAATATAGAAATGGTTTTTGGAAATTTCGTATATTCGGAATTTTCCAAGTTTCGACACGGCATTTTTTCATTTGGCATAAAATTGCCACAATTCAACCGACCCTGTATGCATGCGGTTTACGAGATCTCAATAATCAGGCTTATATTCCAGCCACCCTGTACATATAAAATAAATTATTTTTTTCACCTACCCCATTATACCCACTTTCGATATCGAAACTTATTAGTCATAGATAAAAAATTTATCATTAAACGATGACATAACCGATTAGTCATTAGGGTGAATCGAGCAATATATCAGTCTCGCACCGGATTTCGTCGTGTACGGTCGGTTTAGTTTTCAGTCTTCCAGTTCAGTGAATATATAATGCAATTGTGTATGTGTGAGGTTATGATTGTGTGTGTGTGAGGTTATGTTTGTGTGTGTGGTGATTTGTTACGCGACATCGAAGTTTTTTGCATTGGAAATACACGTTGTCCTTTTTTCAATATGGTAAGTTTTTTTTTATATGAACTTGTGGGGTATTTATCACGTGATGGTGATTTTTCATTCAATTTATTCATACGTACAGGGTATTTCAGACTTAAATGTACATGCGATACCTGTAGGGACACTTTGATGATTCCAAATCATCCCTTATTGATGTGTCTACTGTCTTTTAATACTGAGGTACAGGACGTTATCTCGATTTTATCAATTCTTTATCTAGTCATAATTTATAAACCACTTTGTATATTTCGCATTCATACTTGGAAGATATATTTCACTTATATTACCCATGAAAACTAAACGGAAATCAAGATCGGAATCCAGATCCGTTTTCAGGAAAAACAGAAAACTTCTTTATTGCAAAAACAACACCCTGTATGGTAAAATTTTGTTGAGTTATCTTGATATCTGAAAAGAGCGGAGGAAATGAATAGAGTAATCTACTTTTTACGAGCGCATATCCACTTGACAGATGTTTTATCTTCATTTTTTGAAATATTCAGCACGATTTTGAGGAAGCTTTTTTGAACTCTTAATTCAAAATCCAGTTTTAATACACAAAAATATATTTCGAATCACGACTTCATTGAAAATGCTTCAAATTGGATGTGTATTCGTAAAAAGTAGGTCACTACGATTTTTTTCCCCGCTCTTTTCAAACATCAAAACATATCTACAAAATTTTTCCATTCAGAGTGTTGCTTCTACAATAAAAGAAAATATCTGTTTTTCCGAAAAACGGACCTGGATTCTGATCTCGATTTCAATTTAGTTTTCATGGGTAATATAAGTGAAATATATCTACCAAGTATGAATGGATTATACAAAGTGGTTCAAAAATTATCAAGATTTTATTAATTAAAGATTTGCCAAAATCAAGATAACGTCCTGTACCTTAATTATAAAAGACGGTAGACACATCAATGGGGGTGATTTGGAACAAGTGTCCCCTTTGTACCTGTATACAGCGAGGTATACAGTGTGGAAAAATATGATGGAAATCTGTACCTACCTCTAAACGGAAATATAATTTGAAAAAACTTTAGACAATTAGATATTCATGTTTTGAAATTAATTTTTTTGCGTAAAATGTCTGTCGATTAACTCATCCAAAATATTAAAATTTCATAAGTTACACCTTGTTGAGAGATATATTTCAAGTCTCTATATAACGGTCTATTTTTTTAATGCGGATATGCCTCAACCGGATTAAAAAAAGACCGTTGTATAGAGATTTGAAATACCACGTGGCAACATTAGCGGTAACATTTTCGAATCTGCCATTTTTTGAAAGCATCTTGTAGAAAATTCGGAAAAATCTAATGATCGTTCACTTAGATATTTACTTGGTTCCACACTTTCGCCCATCACTGTATAATGATGGAATGATTCGCTTTTTATACCTAACTGAGGGACTAAACAGATTTCAATAACAAGTTGCAAAAATATTCCATATTTCATAGGTAGTTATGGTACACGAAGGTTTTCGAAATTTCGTATTTACTATGAAATAATTAGATTTCTATAACTATACCGAGGGATTGGAAATATGTATCAAAAGAAGTTGAAAAAAAACTCGCCAGTTTGTAGAGTTATAAGTGTACTGGGTGAAAACGTTATTGAGCTCCACGCCCGGTAACTCTCTTACTTTTGACAGTAGAAGAAAAACGAAAAAAACCTCGAAAAAGCAGACTCACAAGTTTTTTTTCTTGTCAAAACACAAGATACGTTTTCACTATTTGGGAAGATATAGAGGGAACAGCAAAAAGTGTATGAATTTTTAATTAGATCACCCTATGTATATTTCCTCACAATTGGAATAATCTTCCGGAGAGATTTCCAAAAATACCGCATCCAAAATATTCATCTTCTGTATTTCTCAAAATATAGGCTTTCAAAACTAACGAACTCTGATCGATTTTGAATGATTTTCGAAAGTAGACCTTGTCAATTTTATCTCTTGCAGCGCACGAAAGGAAATTCCTATTATACTGAGTACGGTATTTTCAGAAAGCTGTTCGAAAGGTCTTTTCAATGGTATGAAAATATGCATACTGAATTTTGGCACCATGAAATTTTATACATAATAAATAAAAACAATTAATATTTCCAACTTCAACATCCTGTATATAAAAAACGAAGCAAGCTAGGACACTTGTTTATGTGAACTTTATTCCTGAAATATCACAAGTAATCACTCCTTGAAGTTTGTCGCACTTCTTCACTAACACCCTGTATACCTACTGGGTACGGTATTTTTGGAAAGCTGTTCGAAAGGTCTTTTCAATGGTGAGGAAATATACACACTGAATTTTGGCACCATGGAAGGTTATACAGGGGCGTGATAAATAAAAACACTTGATACTTCCAACTTTAACATCCTGTATATCAAAAACGAAGCAAGTCAGGACACAATCATGTTTATATAAACTTCATTCCTAAAATATCCCCTTGAAGTTTGTCGCACTTCTTCACTAACACCCTGTATATTGAGTACGGTATTTTTGGAAAGCTCTTTGAAAGTTCTTTCCAATGGTGAGAAAATATGAATTTAGGACGTTTTATTTAAAATTCATACACTTTTTGCTGCTTCCTGTATACTTTCCCAGATAGTGGAAACGTATCTTGTGTTTCGAGAAGGAAAAAAAAACCGTGAATGTGTTTTTTCAATTTTTTTTTCGTACTGTAAACAATAAAAGAAATACAGGGGGTGGTATTTCATAACGTGTCACCCGCTATACCTAATTCTTTTTCACCTTCCCTAATATACCCACTTTCGATATCGAAACTTATTAGTCATAGATAAAAAACTTGTTCGGTTTATCATTAAACGATGACATAATTGATTAGTCATTAGGGTGAATCAAGCAATATATCAGTCTCGCACCAGATTTCGTCGTGTACGGTCGGTTTAGTTTTCAGTCTCTCAGTTCAGTGAACATATAATGCAATTGTGTATGTGTGAGGTTATGATTGTGTGTGTGTGAGGTTATGATTGTGTGTGTGTGAGGTTATGTTTGTGTGTGTGGTGATTTGTTACACGACATCGAAGTTTTTTGCATTGGAAATACACGCTGTCCGTTTTTCAATATGGTAAGTGTTTTTTTTTTTATATGAACTTGTGAGGTATTCATAAAGTGGTACAGGGTTATTCAGACTTAAATGTACATGCGATACCTATAGATAGAGGACACTTTGATGATTTTAGTACAGGACATCATCTCGATTTTGAAAAAATTTTCATCTAGTCATAATTTGTGAACCACTTTTTATATTTCACATTCATACTTGAATGATATATTTCACTTCCTATATTACCCATGAAAAATAAATGGAAATCGAGATCGGAATCCAGTTCTGTCTTCAGGGAAAACAGAATACTTCTTTATTGCAAAAACAACACTCTGTATGGTAAAATGTTGTTGAGTTGTCTTTCTACTTTTTACGAGCACACATCCACTTGACAGATGTTTTATTTTCATTTT